TCCCTGCCTATAAAATCCAACTCCTCACACCCTATTGGCATATTCATCGCCCTGATGACGGAGGCAGTATGACCTCTGAAACGTTGGTTAACATCGACCAGACTACACAGCGCAATAACCCAGAAGACAGAAATCTTCAAAATGAACAAAATCTTCATAAAGCATTAAATCTTCTCTTGGACTGTCATCATACCTGAGAATGTTCCAAAACATGCTAGGCATTGCCTGCTGCAGCAGTTCATTACAAAGACATTTACAGGGCAAGTCCAAAGCAAGGAAGGCAGAGGTTATATCACTTTTATTAAAAAAAAACATCACCTAAGATAATAAAATCCATTATAAATAATTAAATTATTTCATAAAATGCGCAATATATATTAAATGTAATAAGATAAAGTTCTTTTCAAAATATTATGTTACCATAAAACTGTTCAGCAAAATATTTGAAGTAATACAATGAATAATACTTCATTTTGATATGTGTTAAAAATGTGAGTAATTTCTATTTACTATCTTACCTTGCCACAGTTTATGTATTCAACGGCTGTCTCTCTAAAGAAGAAAAAAATATAATCTTCATACGCCATGGAACTCACAAAATTTGGAGCTGGAAAACAAATGAGCACACGAGTCAGTAAAAGTACACATTTTAAGAAAATGCTTATTTTTAAGTCTTATTTACAGAAACAACTTTCGTGTAAATTTTTACCACAAATCCATTATGTTCTTATTAAAATGCACGGAAGATTCAGCTTTATAGATAACATTTAAAAATCTCTTCAAGCAAAAATAAGTTACCATTTAGCTGCTTCAGATCTGACCGCTCTGTTCTAAGCGGTTCTCTGTAGATAAGAGGATCGGTGCCTGAGAAATCTGCTACAGTGGCTGTATACAGCTGACCATCTAAAACAAATTATCCACATTTCTATCACAAGTCTTGTAGTAATTGGACGCGAGGTCGAAACAAAACGCTATGATGTGAAATGTTAAAGCAAACCACCTACCTACTTCATGGTATGATCTAATACAGTGGTATTCAACCTTTTTTGTTCGCGTACCCCCAGATATAATTTCTCTTCAACTTTGTACCCCAAAAGTTGTTGGTGTATAATTCGAGTAATACATAGTATATAATCTCCCAAATCAAATGTCCTTACGTCCGGTTCTCCTGTGGCTAACCCTAAATCTGGCCATGATTATTCAGTGTTTATCATAAAATAATATATATATTTTTTGACGTAAATACGTCTGTAAGGAAGGGTCATTCGGCAAAAAAGTGACAGGAAAAAGCTTAAGGAAAATGTGTAAGACGGTTGCCTAGGAAACGTCATCTGTTTACTCGGCATTGTTGTTACCTAGGAAACGTCAAGGCAATATTTAGAATAAAGCCAATATATAAACTTCCTTGCCGTATAGACGTATTTACGTCAAATTCTCCGGAACCGTGGTTCCACTGTCAACTTTTTAATTTCACGTACCCCCTAAGATGTGTTCGCGTACCCCAGGTTGAATACCACTGATCTAATAGACAATTACATGTCACATTGAAACTGGTTACAAATTACTTTATTTCATTCAGAACAAAACTTACAAAGAAATGCAATAATCCTTGCTAAGTGCATGGTTGTATAGCAAATTAATATATACGAAGGGGCACGATGGAATTTATAGACTTTAACCTTAATTTCTTATGCTTGTATATCTATTCTCTCACATGCTGTGTTGTTCATGTCTGTAACATAGGAACACGACATATCCTTGAAGTAAAGCACGAAAGGCTCAATATTTCTTACACAGAAGATGAGATGTATAAGTGGGAACACTAAGCAGATGAGAGGGGGGTTACTTACCACTGTAAACTGCTGTGCTGTTGTGGTCTGGATCATAGGGACATAATCCCCTTCCTTCATATTCTTTTTCCATTGCATAATCACCATCCTGAAGAGAACACACAAATTTGTAATACATTGTTTAATGTGGTGTATAGAAATACGTACTATATCATGCCTCTATTGAAAAACTAAGTTCAATGACAGAATCCACAGGAAACTTCTAAAGGGCATGGTGATAGCATTGGAATATGTATGTGTCAGAACAAGTGACAACGAACGAAGCGTTCCAGGTTTCACATTTCAAATTACACCCTTATTAATTCATTTACTAATTAGTCTGCATTTTAGAGAGAAATATTTCTGTTGATATACATATTATCTTACAATTAATTGATGAATGTTATACGGTTAATTGAATAAATATTTGGCCCAATAATTAATTACAATTGCTGAAGGATGTCTCGTTTATCACACAATCAACGAAAAACTAGGTCCCTACACCAAAACCATTTTCAGGCCCTTACCAAGCAAGGAAACAATGAGTGAGATGTCGGGTTCTCACGGCGGCGAGTATGGAGATGTGTTCTCGGTTGCTGCAGCGTGTAGACTGGTAGAAGTTTGCAGACGTTTCGGAGGTGCTTTCTGCTTCCATCACTAGGCGACAAAGTCCTGATGACGACGGAATTAAGCACCTCTGAAATGTCGGCAGACTTCTAAAAGACTACGTGGTGCAACAACCCAGAGGACAGGAATCATCAAAAATTCTGTGATGACAATCCGCCACTGCACTGCACTTAACAAGAAACTACCGAATATCAATAAAACCGTCTCCTCACTCTCGGTGTCTGAACACTGCTGGTCAGATTTTAATGTAATTTATTTTACGACCGGCATCTCCCTTGGGTACATTTGCAATTTGCATTCACTTTACTGTGACGTCATCAGTGTGGGGAGACAAGAGTAGACCTAGCAACTTTTGGAAATGCTGAGTCTGCAAAACGCAAATTCCCCCAAGGCGAAGGTTTTGGGGTTTAGGACGAAGAGAGGATGGCAGCAGTCAACTGGAGAAGCCACAGCGTGGACTGGGTGGCTACTGACGGTTGTCACTGCAGAACATCCGAAATGAAGAAACATTAAATTGTTACGGAAATAAGTTGGTTACCAAGGAAGGTAGTCGATCTTATGCGCAGATTAAGGATGCTTGAAGCGTACATTCCCATCCCTACGGCTGCATAAAGCATCAGAATATCCAGTACCACTAATATTAAAGCCTGCCTGCCACTGGAGAAGTATTCGAGACATTTCCGTTCAATTCCCGTTCTCACTGCTTATGAATCATCTTAATGGCAGCTTCAGAACCCCTTAATCTTCTCAAGTTTTTCCCGCATGCATAGTCGGTTCTACCGTCTAGCATTCAGTATCACGTGACTTGTTGGTTACGTAACACGAAATTCCTAATTACATAACCTCAATTTGGGTGTCTCAGACTTTTAAAGAGTAGGAGCAACGTTCACTTTTATCGCCTCGCAAGCCGCTAAAACAGTTTACTGAAACTTCATGAACTTGGTGTGTACATGGGTCCACACTTCATTCATGCTTCGTATTAGGGAGATCTCGGGTTCAAATCTAGGCCCAAAGCTCGACTATTCATCTGAGGTGCTCTTAAGTACTGTTTACACCATCCAGGAAAATTTTCGGATAATGGGCCTACTTTAAAATAGGTCACGACTGTCTTCTTCTACTCCATTTTCAAACATCCCTGCCACTCGACGTTCTATAATCCATGAAATCAAAACATTAATGAGATTTCTGATTCTCACGACGGCGCGTAAGAAGATGTCTGTCTTCTTTTAAAACATTTGTATAAATATCCCATAAATCAATCAATTATAAACGTTTTGTAATTCTAAAACTAACAGTTAATCAATTGGTGCGGAAGTTCCTTGCTTTCACAGATTCTGAGGTTTCATTATCCACCATGTACAGAAATTTCCGTCATTGAATCATACCTATACCAATTTTTTGTGTATGATCCACATTTTGTGAAAACGATACATACAGCCTAGTTCGATGTAAGTCGCATATAATTTAGAACAGCGTTTCTCAACCTATGGTACGCGAGCCAATGTTGAGTGGTACACGAACTAAGTAAGAAAATCAAAATATATTATTAACATATATAATTTTTCCCTGAACGAATTTGGTTAGTGGTGCATTTAATGTGTTAAATTAGAATAAATGGTAAGCCAGCGATAACGGCTGACAACCTCTGTTCTAAGAGTTTATACTGGACCAATAGCAATACGAACCAAACCTAAATTGGTCCAACAACTTTCAGAGATGTATACACAATCCGTGTAGTTATGGAGATGAGATATGGCGAGACAATACTTCAACATAATGCGTTCATTTTATGCCCTTCATACAAATAACGCATAAAAGACTAAAAGTATACCATATAACAATACTTTCTGTTTTAAAAACTGTTGTACATCTTGCGTTGCGTATATTTATTAATTTGATTTGTTTAATTTTAAGTTTTTGTCTCATCCTTTAAATTTGGAGGTTGTGCTTGGATGTTTTATATCTGTAAAATTAATTTTCAAATCGTGATTTTGGATATTGACATAGGAAATATAATAATTTAAAGAGTTATTACGTAATATAACGTAATACAATGCAGTCTACCATCTCTTAATATCGGACACACAACACATCAATTACAACCCGGTATGTTTTACTACCTTTTACTTTTTATTATGATTCTTTTACATTGTATTACGTTATATTACGTAATAACTCTTTAAATTATTATATTTCCTATGTCAATATCCAAAATCACGATTTGAAAATTAATTTTACAGATATAAAACATCCAAGCACAACCTCCAAATTTAAAGGATGAGACAAAAACTTAAAATTAAACAAATCAAATTAATCAATATACGCAACGCAAGATGTACAACAGTTTTTAAAATATATTAAAATTGATAGACCTGATGATGATGTAATACTTTCTGTATCATTTATACAACGTAGGATCCCTCCAGAATGGGAGAGGTTGGTAAGATCATCTCGTGAATGTCTCCAAATACATTTTTACCTTACGTTAGCCTATCGAGTTCCATATTAGTTTCAAAGCAACAGAGAACTCTTAGGAACTACTCAGTCGTGGATACAAAGCAAATGATGACGGCTCTCCTAGCACGGGGTCTTAAACCACTTTCAGCAATACGTTCTAATCCTGAGAGGCGTAGGCTGTTGCCTGGAAACACCTGTCGATGCGAGACCTCCAACCTTCATACTCAGCGCTAAGACGAGTGTGCAACTCGAAACATCTGTTTATTAACAGAACGTAGTAGAGTCCTTCTTGAGAAGCTGACAATCGCTCAACAAGATCTCTGTCTTTTATGAAACCAGAAGATTAATTGCCGTATTCACAAAGAGCCCGCAATAGCTGTTACTACACTCTGTTATTTACTCGAAGAACCATCGTGGCATAGATAGTTATGTCATCATTAGGAAGTTACTAAATTCTGTTTTAAAAGAATTTTGGTATTCATACGCAGGGGGAAAATATCAAGAGATACTTAATAACTTATGTGAGAGCGTTGACGGTCTGAAGTCATGTACGCTACAATTAATCAGACTTAAATTCTGAATATAATATACACAGAAACTATAATTTTAATGTTATATGTGTTTTATTTTAGTTCAGAGGTAATGACATTTTTTTTTTAAATTGCTGACCTTCAATAGGAATTGGACGTTGAGTCTAAAAGGAGACGATCTCTGTACACATTTCACTTCATGCCGACGGTTTTATCATCATATGGCTATAGTCCGATAAAATTTATGTTAAAATAATTAGTGTCTTCTAATTAATAAAGTGGATTTACGAGGACCGGTATTGTAGTCGAGGCGAATCTGCGCGTTTTGCCTACGTCATTAGCTTGCGTGTAGAGGGAAAACAGACGCATATATCGTAAACTACCGATTATATCCGGACTAATAATGGGGACAGGGTGTACAAGGATACAGTGAACGACCTCAACACAACAGCAGTCCACGAACCACCAGTTAATAAAGTAAAACTATCCAGCTTATTACAAATTATAAGTCAGTGAAATTGTGCTCGTTGGGAAAGTCGTGTTTGTCCAGCAGCATGTTTCCAAAACTACCGGTACTCATCGGACTCGGGTAGAATTTGGTTCTGCAAATCAATGGGCCTACCTGTACTACACAGATGTTTTCGAGAAACTTTGATTTCGGTCCACATCGGCCCAATATAAAGCCCACTTTTCTTTAGGCTTAAATAGAATGTTATCCATTTTGCAGAAATGGAATCATAAAAAGTCTGTACATGACATAAAATACATCCCTCATTTTGATATGGACTTAAGTAAAAACTTTTGGATTGTAACGTAGCCCATGTTTAGAAAAATATAAATTAAACAGCAGAATGCCCTATCGTTTTTATTAGTTCTGAAGTAATAACTCTGTTCCCAAAATAAATAAAGATTAACGCCAATAATAGGTCCATACGCGAAATAGCAAATAGCCCAAAAAATTTAAGTACGCTACTGGAATACAGGTTTCCAGCGAAACTGAACAGCGAGACTCATAAAATACTTCACAAAAGTTGAATAAGCCGACCGCTTTTACCACAGTTATCAGCTATTCATTTATTTACCTATTAAACGCGTTTCCGTTTCATAATGCCACCATCAGTAGCTATAAATAACATATTTGGTTCACTATATAGAGTAAAAGAGTACATTATATATCAAAAACCCCACGTTATAGTGAAATGACTGACTCCTACAAACGTTAAAACTTGAAAGAGGTGTTTATGTTGAAACTGAGATTACATTTTGAGTTTTAAAATATACGTCCATTTAAGCACTGCAACTGTTTACAGTCACCATAAATCATTCAAAATAGCTGCTGCATCTCTTATAACGTAGCTATTATATTTTACTTTCACTTAATAGTGTTATACAGTCCACATTTTTATCCTTTACAGCAGTTTGAGGCTCAGAAAACTTTTGCCAACTCTATGTTGCAGTTATCTTGTGCAGTACGTCCTGCCCCTTGTTGTGAGAG